GTGTGTGTGTGTGTGTGTGTGTGTGTTACTTAACAACATATAAGTTATTGTATGAAATAATTTATATATATAATATAAATTTTATATTATGAAATATAATACATTTTAAATACAATAATAACCAGTTATACTGTAATAATAATAGTAATAAAGTATAGACCAGATTTTGATGTTTGATATTAATTAATGATTTTATAATTATAAAAGCAAAAATAATTGCAGTCGTTGTTGTTGTTATTATTTAGTATTTAATCCTATTTTAGACGTTAATTCATCCAAAATATTTGTTATATCAGTAATATATAAAATATAACCGGTTTTTCAGATTACACACACATATATATATATATTTATTTATATATATTGTATATATATAAACAACTATCTAATCTATATATCTTTAAATTTTCTATGAAAAAATAAACTTTCATTTTTAAAATCTTATCATATATGTTAAAGATTATATATATATATATATACTATAATATTATACAATATATCATATTGCTATTAGTATATAAGCCATTAGTTTATATTTCAATAAGTTTTCAACCATTTTATTTTAAAAGTTAATTATTTTTTATTACACTCATCGGCTCTCTCTCTCTCTCTCTCTCTCTCTCTCTCTCTCTCTCTCTCTCTCTCTGTTTAACACTCATGAAGATTGTCTTATAAATGATAATTATTTTTTAAAAATAAATTTCATATAATAACCGATTAGAAAGTGGAGACAACATTAGCGCCAATGACTTTGAATGACAGGCAAATAATTAACATTTTTAAATAGCAAACACACACTTACATACACACACACACACACACACACACACACCATAAAAATCATGCCCTTAACTAAATGCCAAAATTATAATCATATATATAATACTGTAGTAGTGATAGTATTTGAGAAAAAATTACTTAAACAACAACAAAATCTAATTAATTTGATGACCATATAAATTGTTGTATACTATATATTATTATATATACAGTACTTAATAATAATAATCAATTTCTTTTTTTTAAAAAACTAAAAATGTTTTAACAATTTTTTTCGTTACAATTAGAGGCACTACTGATTGACAAATATATATACACTTTATTTTAAATACTTTATATAATATTATATTAAATGCAATTTGTTTTATTATAACACTCATTATATTGATTAGTTTATACATTATATAAAGTATTTAGCAATAACATGGTTTAAAATAATAAGATATCTTTAATTAACTTTATTTTTTATCGGTGTTATCAATTTAATTAACATTTATTAGTATTATCATTATTTTTTATTGATCATAAAAAAAATAAATCTAAATACAGTTTATCTTATTAAAATATAACAAAACAATAATTATAGGGAGATTTAAACTAATTGATCAATTTATTTAACTAGGAATTTATTTTTTCTCTTTATAAAAATTAAATATATTTTTTCAAAAAAAATTAGTATTTATATATTTATATACATACAGTACTTTCTAATTACAATTTACTATTATTATTATTATTATTGAATATATAAATGTCATAGACCTCTTTTTTGCTTAAATCACAATTTATTATGTATTTTTCAAAATAAAATAAAAATTATCCAGCTATTTATTATAATTAAATGTTTTTTTTGCAATATCCTAGCAATGCTAAGATAAAAATAATAGTAATAATAATGACAATAATAATAATTTAAGATAAATAACATACTATATATTATACTAATATTACTGTATGTATATATTTAATATATATACTGTACAATATGTATATATCATATGAAATGAAATAAAAATAAATGAAATAATTTTTATATAAATTTAAATGATATATTAATTATTTCATACAGACTCGTGAAAATTATATACATTTATGCAAAACATTTTCAGATATTAAATTAAATATATATTTATATTATTTAAATAATTTTTTGAATGTGTGTGTGTCCCAACACACACACACATATACATATAATATATATATATATACATTGATGCATACATACAATTGCTTGTGGGCATCAAACAACATAACATTGAAATTCAATCCTTCATTCAAATAGTAAAATTAATTTTTAAACATTACATAGCATTTTATTATAAAAAAAATAAATGGTTTCACTTTTTAAAACTTATTTTTTTATAAAACATCTTAAATACTATGTATGTGTGTATATATATAGTATATATTTATATACTGATATACTGTAAACATATATATATATATATATATAAGTTATATCTAAGATAAATATCTTAAAAGTAATTTCTGGCACTCTATTCACTCCTTTTAATTTGAAAGCATTTTTTATTTTATTTTTTGTACAGAAAATAAAAAATTTCATTTGTGTTGTTACACACACACACACACACACACACACACACACACACACACACACACACACATTACTTTACTTTACTTTACTGTATAGTCAAATATATACAGTATATACGCTTTGAATACATAATAATATTATATAAATTTATTTTACTGATAATTATATATAAGAGAGARAGAGAGAGAGAGAGAGAGAGAGAGAGAGAGAGAGAGAGARAGAGAGAGAGAGAGAGTAAATAATTTTATTTATATTATTATACTTTTATTTTTTTTTATTTAAGAAAACCCATAAAAACTATGCAATTATTGTCAGTGATATAAATCTTTATAATCACTTTGGGATTTGTATAATTAAATTTATTGACTTAAACTATTGATTATATAAAAGATATATATATATATATATATATATGTGAAAAAATGTTTGCTTATTTTTCAACATTCAACCAACAACAACAACAACAAAACAAATATCTAATAATTAAGTTTTACATTAAACAAAATTATATATTAACACAACAACAACATATAAAAATGAATGAACCCTTTTTATAGTTTGAAATATTGCTATAATTTTTTGTGATAATTATTTATTTGGTTGTTTTAAATGGCATTTCATATTAAATAACAAATATTTTAAGCGATTAATATCTAAACAACATTTAAAAAAAATAATAACTGAAAGTGTATACAACACAAACATAAAACAAATATTTCCCAATATATCATCATATCATTTAATTTTTGATGTATATCTATATTATAATTAATATTAATAACAATTATTAAAAATAAAATAAAAATAATAATTGATAGAAATTTATCACACTAAATTAAAAATAAAAATAAATAAAAACTAAATATCATTTTTAAATATATTGATATTTAAGTTATATATATATCAAAGTATTTAAAAACTTTTAATTAAGATTTATTATAGATATATCTAACTTATATATATATATATAATGAAAAACATAAAATATATTGCCATTTAGAAAGATACTTATAAATATTTTTCAAAAAAATAATGATTAAATAATTGCCACATATTTGAGTATTAAACTAATGGGATATAAATCATAGATTTTTGTTTGTTTTATTTGTTTGTTAATTTTATTATATATATATATATCAGGGTTAAGTAAGGGGGGGGGGGGGGGGGGGGGGGGTAAGGCCAAAATACCCCCCCCTAAGATCGAGAAATTGGGATTTTACCCCCCCCAGACTTTTTGACCAAATTGAAAAAATTGTCGCTTAAAAACGAGGAGAAATGACCCCCCCCCCTAAAATTTTTTTGAAATTTATAAAAATTTTAATTTTAGTTGATACTATTTTAGTAAGTGTTTTTATGTTTTTAATATTTATAAAAATCTAATTATTGATTAAAAATAGTTAAAATAACGTTAAAAGTCTTCAAAAAATAACATTATTTTAATTAAAATAAACTAAAAAATTAAAAATTACCTATTTGTTGAAAAGAGTAATCATATTACAATTTAAATATAAGTTTAAGAAGTTAATAAAACAATAAATACTTATGTTTTTATTAATAATTTTTAAATTTTAAATAAAAAATTTAAAAATATTTTCAATTTTGTACTTAATATAATTAAACTTTAACGAAATTTGAGTTAAATAAGTAGTATTCAGTCAGTATTTGTATAAAAATAAAAATATATAACAAACTATAAACATTAAGTATTGTTTAAAAAATTAATTATGTTAAAAGTTAAAAATTATTAAAATACTAAAAATAACTCATAGTGTATCATTAATGCTTTTATCAACTATTTTTAAATCTTAAATACATTATTTTATTTTTTTTGTTAAAATTTAAGTTTTTATTAATTTAAAAAAATTTTTTAAAAAATATTTATTTTTTATTAAAATTTAAATTTTTGTTAATTTTTAAGTTTTTTAAGTTTTTTTTTATATTTTTGGAAATTTTACCTATTTTCCCGGGAATTTATACGGGAACTTGTGGGAATTTTATTGAATTTACATGGGAATATTCGGGAACTTAAGGAATTTTTAGGGAATTTTCTCTAGACCCCCCCCTTGATTTTGGATTTTTGAAAAAATTGCCGTTTAAAAATGCAATAAAAATCTTACCCCACCCAATACCCCCCCCCCCCCCCAAGATTTTTTGAGAATTTTGTAAATTTTACCCCGGTCTACCCCCCTAAAATCCAAAACCTTGCTTAACCCTGATATATATATATATATATATATATACATCTATAGCTATATGTACTATAGCTATAATATGTATATAAATTATAATAAATAATTATAATTAATGTATAGTAATTAATTGAATACCGTATCTATAATGTCAATCATATCAAAACGATATTATATATAGTTATATATATATATATATATATATATATATAGATATAATTACATCAAATTATGGTTTCCATATGACATATTATAATAATTATATATTCAATATTAAATTTTATATACATTTAGATTTAAGTTTAAAATTAATTACACTTAATACTAATATTGATTATATCAAAAACCAAAATATTAGTAATAAAATAGTAATTAATTAAAAAATTTAATAAACTTTTGATTTTACGCAATAATAATAATAATTTTAAATACATTTTTAATGTTTATCTCTTAATTTTTTTTGGGGTAACATATAGGTCGAGACACTACTCCATAATCATAGCGACAGTTTCGAGCCATCGGCAGCCAAACGGGCGTCGGTAGCGGCGGCACCGCTGGCCGAATGGGTCAAAGCTAACGTATCGTTTAGCCGAGTCCTACACAAGATTAGGCCACTGGAAGATGAACAGAATCGGCTGGAATCTGGCCTACGGTCGGCTCAGACCCGAATGAAATCGTTAAGCAATCAACTGGAAGGAGTCGAGACAGAGGTCGGCGCTCTACGCAATCGACTCAATCAGGTGACCATAGAGGCGGCACAGATAGAAGTTGGTCTCAAACAGACCAATCAAACACTGACTCAGAGTGAACGTCTCATTGATGGCCTGAGCGGTGAGTTTACCCGTTGGAAGCAACAGCTGCGGGACATTGACGACAGTGTCCGAGCTCTACCCGAACAGGCGCTCATTGCCGGCGCATATATCATATTCTGTAGCGGCGAGCCGTCGCGCGAACGCCGACGCCAATTGTTGACCTCCCTGTGCTCGGCAATCGGTATACCAGAGTTTGATTTGTTAGCCTTTCTCGACTGTCCAGCCGAAGATGATGTGTTCGTACGGGTCGGGTCGCCAGCACACGTCACACCGTTCATATACGATCCTTCTCGTAAGGCATTGGCCACCAGTTTTGATGGCCACGGCAGCAACTATGAAGTTACGGATATGCGCAGTCGGGATTGGGTTAAAGTACTTGAGCTGAGTCTACGGTTTGGCCGAACACTGGTTATCAACGATTTTCAGCGCATAGAGTATCCGCTGCTACCGGTGCTCAGGCATGAGGTCTATGGCAGCGCTGAGACCAGAAACTGGATATTTATTGGCGACAAACGAGTCGACTATAATCGTAATTTTCGACTATATCTTATCGGTCAAGATATCAGCACCGGTACGGCAATGGAACCTTTGTTTAATTTGGTTAATCTGTCGCCCAGTAGTAGCGGTATGTCGTCGGCACTGTTAAGTTTGGTCATACAGTGTCGACGGCCGGAACTGGAGGTCAAGAAGCTGGAGATCGAGAAAGAAAAACTCCGATTGGAAGCAGAACTACGGGATTTGGAGTCGAAATTGTTGGCCAAACTAATGGAGTCGACGGGAAACATACTGAACAATACGGAACTGATTGCCAGTCTACAGGAACTGAAACAGTCGGCCCTGCAAGTGGAACAATCGCTCCGGGAGTCAGCCCGTGTGGCCGATGACCTACACCGCGAACGGGCCGAATACGATGTGTTGGCACAGTTTGCATCGCAAGTCTATTTTCTGGTCAGAGAGTTGGTAACATTGAACCCGATGTATAGGTTCGGCGTCGTCGAGTATGAGACTATATTTCAGGAGTCGTTGCTCAACCACAAAGAGTTAGGACCGAATCAATTGCTTCAGGTATGTGCCGGTGCTGTCATAAGTGTATGTTTAATGTGTGTGTGTGTGTGTCGGCTTTTTCAACCCCTCCAGTCCCATATAAACCACTGGTTACCCACAATAGATGGGTTGGGTATATGGGGTTAGGCATTGTGTGTGTGTGTGTGTGTGTGCTGTTAGAGTTAGTCATCGCACCTCATAATTATTGAAAACCGTATAATAATTTTTTTATTATTATTATTGTTGTTGTTTTGTTATTATTGTTCATTCATTTATAAATATTATATAATTTGAATATTTTATTTCATTTTTAAAAAAAAAATTTTCCCTAAATAATTCATGAATTAATTTAAACATTCATTAGCTGTAAAAATATATTTGTGAAAAATGCATTTAAAACAATTTGCAACTAAAATACTGTATTATTATAATAATTATTATTATACAGTATATGATATGAGAGTAAACCACAATATATTTATTATTTTATTATTTTTTCTTCATTTATTTATAAGTTTAATAGTGTTTTGTTTATTATTAATAAATTGTTGATTTAATAATACATTTAAAATTTATTTATTATCTAATGTGTTGTATATATATATAAATACTTAAAAAGTTTAAATACTGTGTTTTTACACAATGCTCTCTCTCTCTCTCTCTCTCTCTCTCTCAAACATATTAAAATTATAATAATAATTAATAAATATTAAATTTAAAATAATTTAAATAATAACAAATAAAAAATGTTACGCTTGCATAAATTTATCTCATTTAATAAAAAAAAACTTTTGAAACCAACATTATAATTAATAMTAATAATAAAAATATTATTAAGAGCAAAAAAATTACATTATATTTGTAAGAAAAATTATATATTATTGATTTAATAAAATTAATACAATAATAATATTGAATTATTAAATTGCAACCAACAGTGTTAACAAGGTTATATTAAATAATAATATTTGTTTTATATTATAAAAATTAGTTAATATAGTCATGCACTGGTAGTTTATTTTATAATAATGATGTACTAAAAATACTAATATTATAAAAAATAGTGTAAATGTATAAATTCAATATAACTTTACTAAATGTATATTACTTTTATTGATAAAAAAATACACTGTATATTCATTATAGAAATTAAGTGCAAATTTTATAATATAAAAACAATTTTTTTCAATAATTTTTTCGTTGTTGATAAAAAACATTATATTGTGTGGTATAAAAACAAATTGATGTTAATATTAATATTTTAAATATTATAATATCTTACAGCAATATGCATATTTGCCATACAGTATTAAATCATATAGATATTATAGATAATATATTATAGTAAATAATTGTAATTTTATGATCATCAAAAAAAATGTTAGTCAATGTGCGACCAATAATCCCAAATAGTATCAGCATTTCAGGCAAAATGGATGAACACCAGATTGTTCCCGATATTGTTGATACCTATCCATCACATGTCATCCAGGTATAAAATTAGTAGCCCCTACCTACCCACCCCCAACAACATGTAGAGTAGATTAATCTGATAACCGACAAACAAACATAAAATCAATTGTTTATTAAAAAAAATCAGATTAAATATGCCAACAATGTTTCGGTAGACATGGGCAACGAGTTGGCGCCCAAACAGGTGCGAGTGGAGCCCCGATTGGAGTGGCCAACAGAGGACGATGCCCTCTATACGCTATGTTTTGTCGATCCTGATGCTCCCACCCGATCGGCACCGAAAGACGGCCAGTTTAAACACTGGCTGGTCGTCAATATTCCCGGCTGTGACATACAATCTGGTCAAACACTGGCCGCGTATATTGGTTCGGGTCCGCCGCGCGGATCGGGTCTTCATCGATACGTGTTTCTTGTCTATCGGCAGTCGACACGCCTTGATCCTGACGATCGGTTTGCCGACAGTCGCGATCTGACTGGTCGACCAAAATTTAAGGTCAAGGAGTTTGCCAATCGGTACAATTTGGGCGATCCCGTTGCCGGCAATTTTTATCAGGCCAAATGGGACAGTTATGTGCCCCGCCTGTACGCTCAGTTTGCTATGGGTATGGTCCGTAAACGGTGTGTCATATTGTGATTTAAAAAAAAAATCATTAATCAATAATAAAAAATTATGTTTTAAATGTGTGTGTGATTTATGGTATATTGTATTTACAAACAACAACAACAAAAATTATGATAAATTAATATTATTATTATTTTGTATATAAGTTACAAATAACTGTATTTTATAATAATTATTATAAAATATTTTTTTAAGGGATTTTATTTTTTTGTAAATATTTTTTTTATTTAAATAGTCTTAAGTATGTTAAATACTTAGATAATATATAATTAATTTTGGGATTAACCTAAATATTAAAACAATTTTTGTTTGTTTATTGTAAATTGTCATTGATTTGCAAAAATTAATTATTTTTAGAAAAAATTATTTTAATCTATTTATCAGATATATTTATATTATAATAATTATTATTTTATAAATTTAAAAACACTTTTCTTTAATTAACTTTTAAATTTTATTTAATTAAAAAAATCGTTATCATTTAGAAAAGTGTAATTTTTACGACTTTCAAGGTTTCAACAGTTTTTCCTCAAAATAAAAAATAAATATTTGTTTGTTTTGTTTTAATATAAAAATAATAATAAAATTCCTTTTTCTTTGAGTGATAATAAAAACTGATAAAAAAAATTTACTTCAAAGAAAACTTTATTTTGTTGTTGATGTATTATAATATATTATACCCTATATTAAAATGACTCACTAGTGTTAATGAGTTTTTTTGACAGTAATTATACATTATTTTCATTATTATTATTATACATATATTGTCTTAACACTAAATATTATTTTTTAAAATTTTTCTTTAAGTTTCAAAATAAATTAAACAACATATTCTATATTATAACTTACATATATTAAAAAAACTTAATGTACTGTATATTATGTAATACACATTGTGTTTGATTATACACTATAAAAAAATTATTATATATTTTGTTCTCCTATTAATACTATAATAGACAACTATTTTTTGACAACTTGTATAATATTACAAAACATACATATAATACTACAATAATAATAATAGCTCTGGGAATCTGTTAAATCATAATTTTCTCAACACTTTAAGACAACAATTTTTTTCGTTTAGCAATATTTTTTTGTTGTTGAAATGCATTTTTAATGTTTTTTATACTTATATAATATGGTATATATATATATTGAGAGAGAGAGAGAGAGAGAGAGAGAGAGAGAGAGAGAGAGATGAGATTTGGTGTAAAGTTGTAAAAGCCATTCATTGCCATCAATAGACTTGTCTTATATTAAACTATTAATACAGTATATACTGTAATATGTTTTAAATGCTATTTTATATATATATATAATCAAAATTTTATGCAAAATTGCCATTAAATTAGACATTAATTACCAGTCATTTTATATAAAAAGCGTTTTTGGCATTTATTATTATTATATTATATATTATATAATTTATAGACACATATCATATATACTTTATATATATAAAAAATATATCATACCATACTCTATAATATAGTCTATATACTCCATTCATTAACTAACTGTCCTTAAACTGCCACAACCGCCTCTCTCTCTCTATCTTCCTGTCTATTAAATAGGATGTCTATAATTATGTAAGCCGTGGGCTCTTCCCTGAAGACAAAATCATATTTGAAAGGTTTGTCCGCAAGAGATGCACCAAAGAGTCGCAAACACTGCACTCGGACGCCGACAATATGAATGTCCGACAATTTGTTCGGCACGTATACGGCGCCGACAAACGGGTGGCCCTAATCATGACTACGCCAGGCAGCGATCCGACCGGCGAAGTGGCACAGGTAGCCGCTGAACTCGGTATCCGTAATCCGACAATTATGTCGATGGCTTCGGACGTTATTGGCAGAGCTGAACGTGCCGTCACCAGTGGTGGTACCGGTGCCGGCAACGATGACAGTATTGAATTATTGTGTCTAACAAACTTACATCTAGTCATAGGGTGGCTCCCGGTACTAACCCATTTGCTAATGAGTGACACTCATAGTAATAGTAATAATAATAGGACTATACACGGGTCGACTGCTCCGAAAACTACTACTACTACCTCTACAACTACTGGGAAGTCATCGAAATTATTTGTCATATTATGCACCGAACGGTGCGATGAGTTTCCTATTTCTTTATTGGAAATGTCCGTCAAGTTTGCCTATGAGTCGGCACCGGGACTGCAGCATCAGTTGAAACGTTTGACAATGGATTCCGGTGCCACCAAATCGATACCTGAGTTACAAATACTAAGCTATTTGCATGCCATATGCTGCGAGCGCCGGCACTTTGTACCCCAGGGCTGGACCAAACCCTATGAGTTCGGGTTTGCCGATTTCCGGTCGGCCAGTAATGTCATACAGACTGTTATTGAGGCAAAGGATCGTCGACTGCGTATGGATTTTATTCGCGGACTACTGGGAACTGTTATTTACGGCGGAAAATTAGATACCAGTGTGGATGACGGTATACTACAAGCACTGATCAACAGATGGTTTACACCGAATCGCAATAGTCGTGATGTGATGGATCCGAGCGATGAGATATCGGTGCTGGGATTGGCCCGTAATGTCAATAAACTTCGACAAACGGCACAGGAGTTCAGGTTGACAAAAGGTTTGCATGTACTCGAAAAGGCTACCGATGCCGACAAAAGTGAAGCCGAGTTCGAAAAATTGCGGTCACTAGCGGGTCAGTTAGCCACATATCGGGATAGACAATCCCGTAGGCCAAGCATTCAGAATACGGGCAAAAATGTTGCGCCAATTGACGTCTATATCGGTGTTGAGTGTAGTCAATCGCAACAACTGATCCGTCAGATCGACAACGACATCAATGACACAGATAGCCAGCGCCGGCGCCAAACCATTGGCAATCAATTGGTCAACAACGAAACACCCGACACGTGGCTCGATTTTTGGCCAAACGGACCGCTAAGTGCCGACACGTTTATCAAATGTACGGCATCTATGTGCAAAGAGATTGTTAAGCTCCGGGAGATCGCTGATAGTGGGATGGCATCATCATCATCGACGCGGGACATGGAGTTTAATTTGGCGCATTTGTTTTATCCCAATTCACTGGTCAATGCACTTAAACAACAGGCATCCAGACGTCTAAAAACAAGTGTGGATCAGCTCCGACTCTACAGTGCTTGGGGTCGACACACTCTGAGCACTGGCAGTCTAACGATGCGCTGTTCGCTGGCCGGTATTGTCATTGAAGGTGCCGTGTTTGATGGCCAACAACTACAGGACTGCCAGACAGACAGTCCGCTACAGTCGGATATGCCGGCGCTTAGCATCTATTTCCTGTCAAAGGTATGGCCATTCTAGTCAATGCACTGATAGATAACAAACCCTAACTGCACACAAACAGACATTACATACACTACACCTACTATTCATTAGCGATGTCTATGCAATAATTGAGAAACACATATGGATGCTATGGTAGGTCTTTAATCTCAATGGGATATCAATCTCAATAGAAAATAATGCCTTTTTTAACTGATATCATATAGTATTGTAGTATATAGTGTACACTGAACTCTCTAGTCGTGGGCCATACCTATCGATGAAGTAATAGATTTTATTGTTGATGAACATACCTTTTAGCGGGTGTACACTATTTAAGAGGGGGGTCTATATATTAAATATATATATATATACATAAATAGCGATAGTTATACAATGTATATAATTTTGTTAGTGTTTTTTTTGACAGAAAACTAAATCAATAAAAATTGTTTACAATAGGAATTACACTTAATTTTTGTTATATAAAACTTTTTTTTAGGGCTGTTATGCCACACATATATTACTAGACATAAACCTACAGTTCAAACAGTAATAATAATAATAGTAAAACATTTATATTATTAAATAAAAAGTTCAGCACAAAAAAAAATGTTATTACCTGTGGTTTTTTTAGGGAAACAATAATACAGATATAAAAAAAACTAAATAAATTTAAAGCACAGATAATATCTGTTGTCTCTGTCTGTATAAACTATTTATTTAAAAAAATAAATAAAAAATAAAGTGCTTTACATATACACACACACCTGAGGGACAAACTGTATGTATGTTTGTACTGTACCTATACCTGTAAAACAACCGACAAAATGACAAATAATAATAATAATAATAATAAAGATATGACAACTTTTGTCAAAACAATATTATGCCTGTTGTCTGACAATTTGTGTGGACTTAATAAATAATAATAACAACAATAATAATAATAATACTTTACTATAACAATGATAATGAATTGGAGAAAATTCATTGAAAAATAAATGGGATTTTTTAAGCTGAAGAGAGAGAGAGAGAGAGAGAGAGAGAGAGAGATCTACTTTTTACTCAACTCTACTCTCTTATATATATTCATTATATCTATATTTCGCATGAATAAGACATTGACATTATCAGGGTTTGCCATCAAAACTGGAGAAATGTGTGGCCCATTATCAAGGCTTTCCTTGAATATATATATAAATTATATATATATATATATATATATGATATAAAAACAAATTCATGTCTAATGTATGCAATATTTTTTTATAGTTTTTTCTGTGTTTAGTTCATAGACTTAATATTGTAATTGTTGTTGAAATAAGAAATACAGACAAATAATTGACTCGTTTTTTTTAAAAAAATAAATAAAAATATATAATAAATAGAAATTACATATGAAATGATTATTAGCTATATTTTTGTGTTTGTGTTTTTTTTTAATTTTTTTTAACACTTACTGTCAAATACCAGTATAAATTTACATAAATAACTATAAAATAAATAAAATAAATAATTTACCAATTATTTCAAGTGTTTTTTTCAACAGTAAATTTTTTTATTTAAAAAATTAGCAATAATTTCATTATATATATATATATATATACAGTACTAACACCTTGATTACTACTACCTACTACTACTACTACCCAACCCGAGACATCAGTTTAGATACCAGTGCACTGGTATTATCTAAATATAAAATCATAATTACATTACAATACACACACACAGACACACACACACACACACATACACACACACACACACACACACACACACACACACACACATACATACAGTCCATCAAAAAAATCTCATAACTATTAAGTTTTTATCTCATTTTCAATTGTATGACACAATATTATCTTACAATTTATATTTATTATTATTATTATATACTGAAAGTTTTATTGTTATATTTACTACACGCGACTCAAACATTAGGACAGTGCCGAGCCGTACGACAGGTCGCAAGTCATACGATTACCATTGTATGGCAATTCACGTCGCGAGACAATTGTCGAGCACCTGGACGTACCCATTGAAAGGGGAACTGATCAACATTGGACAGAGTGTGCCGTTTCGCTAGTCATTAAATACAACGTCGCTTAGTCGGAGAAACTAATAAAATAAAAAGGAAATGCCTAATGAAGCTGACATACCTGTGCTATCAATTTTTTTTATTGTTTGATAGCAACTCCTTAAACTGTAATTAGTCGTCAAAATAAAATGTTATGTAATTTTTTATGTATTATTATTTTGTTGCATTATACTATTATATAGTCTCAGTCTGTATAAATTAATTGTTATTTAGATTTTATTTAAATTATATTCATAGATATATATATACAGTAAAAATTAAATTATATTTATAAATATACAGTGATTGCCAGTTAGTATGTAATACTGTACATATGTATGTATAATATAATTAGATGGCATCTGTATGAATGTATAGAAGGTTTTCCGTGTTAAAAGTCTAGGATTTTATTATATTAGTATTAAAATTACAATTAGTATTATTTTTGGTGAATACCTAGAAATTGTTAATCACATCGACAACCTGTCCCACTAATACTACCAGGCCATACAAACATTTTATGATGTTTAAGGTGGTGCTGGTGCTGAGTTATGTGTGAGCACTTTGATACCCCTTTCCATCCCCCTATCTCTCTCTCTCTCTCTCTCTCTCTCTCTCTCTATGCCATTAATAGCCAAATGTGTCGATGTTTTAATGTTTATTTTCGGGGGTAATGTTATTATGTTGTTGTTATTATTATTGTTGTTTTGTTTGTAAAGTTTTATTTTAGGAAATTTAATACACTTTAATGGTTTACCTGTAATATCCTAATCCTTGCAGGTATTGTGTATTAAATTAAGCCGCAGATCCCGTTCCCCTCTAAGTGCATTTGTTTGTGTATGTGTTGTAAGCTAACCGTAAGCTAATATTGCCTTATTTGAACTGTATATACATTTAAAAACATACTGTATATCTATGGAAATAATTACAATAATTATTATTTAATATTAAATCAGATGTTTTATATATTTTGTTGTTGTTTATAGACACTAATTACAGGTTAATTAGGTTTTGATTATATTTAACTCAAATATAAATTATATAATAAAATATAAAAATATTAATATATATATATATATATATAACAAATTACATATAATGTATAAATATAATTGTTTGTTTGGTTTTTTGTTAATTATGAATAATTTGTATAAATTATTCATTAAATAGCTATCAGTTTCAATTAGTAATAAATTTTTATTTATTTATTTAGTTAAGTTTATAGTTATATTTTAAGCAATAATAATAATAAATTCTAATAATAACAATAATACTAAAATATTAAAATTATTTTTATATAATTTGATACTATTAAAATATTATTTTAGTTAGTATATTACTTGATAACGATATTATCGACTTTTATGTAATTAAAGTGACAAACAAACAAATTAACAAATAAAAAAAACAAATTACCAACTATTTTATTAACCAAAAAAATTGTTTTGTATTAATAAATTATATATTATGCTAATTGTTATTACAAATTAAAACCAAGTTTTATTTATAAATAAATTATTTTATTCAGAAACAGGATTTATATATATATATATATATTAAAGAAATTTATACCCCATTACATAACATGATGGATATAAACACTTTAAAATTGAATATATATAACATATTTGTTAAGTTTTTTATGAGAGAGAGAGAGAGAGAGTTATATAAAATAATAATAAAATTGATATATTTATGAAAAAGGGGGAAAAATAACTATTTTGCGTTTGTTATCTAATCATTATTTTCTCTTTCACTGTTCAACTTTCATATGAAAAAAATATTATAAAATATGATCATAAAATAAAATAAAATAAAAAAGTTTTTTAATACATTACTTAATGTAAGGATGCACTCAAGTATCAGAAATTTTCTCATTTATATATATATATATACCGTATATAATATAATATACACTATATCTTACTCCATGGCTTAGCACACACACACACACACACACACACACACACACACACACACACACACACACACACACACACACACACACACACACACACACACACACACACACACACACACACACACACACACACACACACACACACACACACACACACACACACACACACACACACACACACACACAATCTCACGACACTACCAGAGAGCTCATACCCAAGCGTCGGGATTTGAACACAACCTACCCGACCACTAGCTGAAGGATAGTTGACTCGTCTTTATTTTGTTTAAACGTTGAAAACTGTTGACTCTCTATCTATATGTATTATACCCGAAACATTACATACACACATACTCATAGACATAACCGTCCCTTCAGCATAACAGCAGCAGCAGTCAGTCAGTCAGTGCATACCTGTATACCTGTGTGAGTGCATGTGTTTATATATATGTGTGTGTGTATTGCGTTAGTTAAAAACTTTTTTTTTCAAAAATAAGTGTATATGCCATTGAAGTTACACACTGGCACTGATACACACACACACACACTGGGAAATTATAAACGCTGGGATAGTTGTACTGTTTTTAAAGACTATGGGCCCTATCATTGACTGCACGATAATACATATACCAGTGCTTTCAGTGGAAGACTAAGTCGAGATAAAGACTAAGAAAAAGAGAGAGACTTTCTCTCCATTAAATACCTTTCCTTATAATATAATAAATATATCTATATATATATATATATATATATTTCTCAGTATATAATAGTTAAAATATATTAGTGTTAAAACTTGTTTGAAAAAAATAAATCGTTTATTGTGTATCAAAAACATATACATACACACACATCCCATCTATTTGTTAGTGTGTATGTACAGTATATACATATAAAATATATATGGTTTATATTTGTGTATATAAATATAATTTGTCGGTGTTTTGTGGTGTAAAAATGTGCCCCTAAAATAACATTATATTTTTTTGCGGATAAATCTCAAAAATATTTAAACAATAATTTTTATTTGTCAATGGATTACATGACTTTACTAATAATAACATTATCGGATATTTTTGATAAATATGTAAGTATTTGTGTTATATATAAATAGTATAACTTATACTAATATATTTTTTGTTATTGTTTGTTTGTAAGATAATTAATAGTTATTTATTTTCAAACACTAGCCTAACATAATTATTAAGTTTTGAAGGAAAAAATTAGACCACAATATTTAGGGCTATTTAACAGTAATAATACTCATAATAATGAATTTTTATTTTAAAACAAAAAACATTTATACCCTATTGGGTGGTCAATGCCTAATGGTGTTCAATGTTAGTGATTTTTTATTATATTTTAAAAATTATTATTATTAGTAGTAATAATAGTACATACAGTATAAATGTTCAAGGTTAATTTTGTTTTTTTAATAAATAATACCAGTAAATAAATACAAATTTTTCTAACACTCAAATAAAAAAATTATTAGATTTTTACAATTGAATGCCCACTTGTTGTGTGAGAAATATATATAAAATATTATTTCATATTATATATATAATGTTATAATTATACACAAAAAAATACATTATACGAAAAAAATTAAGTTTTCATTTTCTCTCTATATTAAGTTTTTTGTTTTTTTTGTTGAAATTTTTTTTTCATTATATGATACATAAGTAGAGAAATTTGTTTTGTTGTTGTTTTTGGTATAATTATAATTTACATATAAAAATAATAAATTTATTACACAATAAATAATTATTACAGAAAACTATTATTACCAACAAATGGCTAACGAGTTAAAGGACGAGTCATCGGCGGCGGCGCCGCCGCCACCGCCACAGCCGTCGGAGTTGATTCACGCGGCGGCCAACGGTCTGACCGAACGGGCAAAAGAGTTGATCGCTTCGGGAGCTGATGTCAACGGTGTAGATGAGGTACGGGTAATAAATATATCTAAAAATAATATGAATTTAACCCCCATATGGCTATTATATACTGTTTCAAAACTATTTTCAATAATATCCTATTAATGTTAAAATATTATTACTGTATTATTAGTTTTTTTTTAAATATATAATTTCATTTTCATCGAAACATATTTTTTTAGTGATAAGTTTATTTGTTAAAATTAAAAAAAATATTATATAAACTGTATATGTATAGCACGTTATTACAATTAATGACAATTGACAGTGATATGTGTTTGTTTGTGTTCATTGTGTATGTGTGTATAATTGTTGTACCGGGGGATAGTTAGTTAGTTAGTTAGGCAATAATCGGAGGATAGTTAGCTAGTTTTTAGTTTATGAAAGCTTTACTCAGTGAAAATGAGTTTCTCAATACCGTATACTACCCCATACCCTCTGAAACAAAACATTAAAATGATAGGATAGTTAAACGCTCTACTGATGCAATACTTTATATATTTATATATATATATATATATAGACATGTATTTTTTATATACCTTTCCCTATACTATATAATATATATTACCGTATAATTCATGTCACATATATCTGGATAATGTCCTCCTCTTTCTCTATGTCTAACTATTTACTAACATTAAAATTAAAGACAAATAATTAAACCCCAGTGAGTGTGTGTGTGTGTGTGTGCGTTAGATACAAAAAGCAAGCACTGGTGGGTCGAGACATAGATAATGATGGAGTTGTTGAGTGTTGAGCTGCCCGGAGCCCATGTGCTTAGTTAGTTAGAAAAAAAAGTCAACCAAAATCAAAAAATTTATATATATATATATAGTACATAAAATAAATCAGTGTCTATGCCTAACTAAAAATATTGCTGCTGCAGCACAGGTGTCATTATCGTCATCAACCAATAGTTACCAAATGTTTAAACACATATACAGTATGGCTTATGTGTCTGTTTATGGCTATATAAATATATACACAAATATATGCCTGTAATTTGTAGTCCTAAAACTATAGGTACGACCAACTCTATGAGGTAATAGAGCCCTCACACACTCTGATTGTCGCTTTATTCCCAAATAAAACCGAAAAAAATACGGCATAAAAACAATTGACAGACAAAACAAATGGTGTTTTTTCTCGTGTAGAGTGAAAACAAAAAACTTTTTTTAAATATTATGATATTATTATGTTTTTACTATTTTTCACTTTTTTGTGCAATTTTTTAGGCGTTGAATATCCTCTCTCTCTCTCTCTCTCTCTCTCTCTCTCTCTCTGATGATTTGAACTAAAACAACAAAATCTTTTTTGATTGTTTTTTATGAAACATTTAACGCCAATGTCATGAATGAAGTCATTTAATACACTATATATATATATATATATATATTATTATTAAATACTATATATAGTCGAAAAAGAAAAATTGAAATAATAATAATAATAATACTTGTATATACTCTGTAGCATTAAAAACATAATAATAATGATAATACTTAAAAAAAACAATTTATGACTTTTTTTAGATTTATATACCTGTATAGATTGTACTGTATATTATGTATTTTTTGTTAAAAAAAAGTATATTAAAAACATTTTGCTTTTTAAACTATACTTTATTAAAGAGATTTTATTGAAAAATTATTTTTTTTATCTATTATTATTATTAAAATCATTTATATAAATATTATACATTATATATAATTTATATATATATATATATATATATATTGGTTTACATCAAATCATACATCAAAATTTCATATTTTTAAATAATAGCTAACACATACACTCAAACTTAAGACAAAACAACTGAAAATCATCACAAATTGAGGCCAAAAGCCATTTGAATAAATGGCATATAATATATACTATATATATATATATATATATATTCTTACATTTCTAATATATATATATATGTGCATAATAACTACATGCATTATATTCAACTATTGAAATTTCACTAATATTATATGCATGCAATTTGGCTAAATGAAAAAGGCTATTATTTTAGCATAGATTCATAAAATATTATTTAATGCCTTTTTTGAAAAATGCAATTATCAGTCAAATATATACTGTATATATATACATACACACACAACAAAACAGTCAGTCGGGTAATCATATGGATGAGAAATAAAGAGAGAGAGAGAGAGAGAGAGAGAGAAACTAAATGCTAAATATATATACATATAAACTAATCATTATAATGGCAACACAGACAACAACGTAACAAAAAATTGGTTAATAGTTTGAGGCAATAAAATATGAACAGATTTATAATAATAACATTTACAATACATATATATAAGTGTATATACAGTATATATATAGTATAAATAGTGTAATCAAAAAAACACATGCCCTCCACCACAACAATCCTCTCATTATATTTAATAATATTATTATTATAAGTAATTTTTAATATTTGGTTTATTTATTATTATTATAAAAAAAATTACTGTGTTATGCATACTATGCATACTAAATATCTAATACTGTATTATTCAAATAATATGTACAGTATATTATCATTTATATGAATCTTTTTTTTAATAATAATAATAATAATAATAACTGTAGTAATACTGTAATAATAATCACATAAATATATTTTTAATAACAATAATAATGATCTCAATTAGAAACTTCAAAAGTTTTTAAAAATAATATTTAGATAATAATTATTATATTTAATATTATTTAAAAAAATATTTTTCTTAACTATTGTTGAAACCCAAACATTTTGATTATACAGTAATATATTATAAGTTATATGAATTGTATGAAAAAAAGTTTTCAAACAATTATGAATTGAACTTATTTTCTCTTTTTAAAATATAAATAAATATCTATACCATTGATAGGAGCAATGGCACAAATTGTATAATATTATATACAATACTATATTACTGTACAAATAAAAATTATTATATTAAATACTATATAATAATAACAATAATAATAATTTATTTAAAACTCATTTAATTAAAGTACACAAATCAAGACAAGAGATCTCTCAACTCTCTACACATGAAATGATAACAAATATAATAATAATAATAAATAAAACTAAAACAATAATAACAAAAACAAAAAACAAATAAAACAAAGAAGTCATGAAAATATATTTTATATTTTTTTTATAAAAAAATATGTATAAAAATTTTCTCCTAAAATGTTTTTCCAGTTATAATAATAATAATAATTTACTCTTAGCAAACATTTTTATAAAATCAAAAAAAACTTACAATATATATGCATAGTATTTATAATTATAGATAAATAATAATATTTTTAAACAAAAAATAATTACAAATAATTTTATTTTTATTTCACTAACTTATTATTATTATTATCGATGATATGTTTCTTTTTATTTCTCTCTCTCTCTCACTCATTAAATAGCAATTATTATCATTATATTTATATTATTAAATATATTTATTTTTTTCTCCGAACTACTCACTCACTCTCATGATCTAAATATTATAAATTTATATATATATATATATACTTATAATTATTGTTTGTTAATAACAATACTTGTATAAATAAATAAATAATATAATATTTATTAAATTTAAATTATTATTTTTATTTTTTTTAATTTGATAGCACCATAACAGTGCCCTACACGAGGCCGCCTGGAATGGCTACAGTCTGACCATTGAATTGTTGTGCAAACATAAAGCAAATTTCTATAATAAAAATAAGGTATTATTTAGTTAGTTAGTTAGTTAATTGTAGTGGACAGTCATGTTTTTGTTGTTGGTGGTGTTGTTGTAAACATTATGTCACATTTTATTTTTTATATATATTGCAGCAAGGTCATAGTGCACTGCACCTGGCCTGTCAACAGGGACACAACCAAAGTTGTCGGATACTTTTACTCAATGGCTGTAAGCCGGACATCAAAAATAATGTAAGTATACATAGAGTTTAATGTATTATTTTGTTTTTTTGTTGTTGTGTTGATAATACTTGAATAAGTATTAAAAAAAATATTTTTAAAAAACTTTTTAAGTAACTCATATAGTATTTTCAATTAATAATAAATTATATATAAATTGTATTGATATTTTGTTTGCAATTGAAAAAATCTAATATTTTTAAATATTATTTTATTAAAAAAAATACTAAATATGTACGCCCAAATATGTGTAAATTTTTTTTAAAAAAACATTTTTAAAAATTCAATGTTATCTGTGTGACACATTGAAAATAGATTACCCTTGTCAATTTATTTAATAAATATTTATATTATTTTTTATTGAAAAAAATTAAACATAAATACAGTGCATAAATAATTATACTATTTATATTTAATTTTTTTTTAAATCAGTAAAATACATGAGCCAGTCAAAATTTTGTAAATGTCTCATATTTTATGACAAATATTTCTAAAGAAATTTTTTTTAACTCACTTATCAACAAAATATATAGTTTTACTTATTTTATATTTTTTTAAATAATCTATTTTCTTATATTAATTCATTTTTTTCTCACTTATCATTTCAATAGTAGTAGATTTAGTTTATGATATATTAATAGATAAAAATATTTTGACATTTTTTAAAAAATATAGTTTTTTATAGTATATTTCTCTCTCTCTCTCTCTCTCTCTCTCTCTCTCTCTCTCTTATTCATTCACTTACTTACCTACTCATCTCAATCAGCAAAAAAAAAAAAGTTATATTATTATTCAAAATAAAATAATTTAAAAATAAAATAATTTCATGAAATTTTTTGCATACCTTTATATATAGATATTTGATATATACCACTAAATATCATGCTATCATTTCTACTGTATTTATTATAAGGGGTAGAAAAAAAATTCATCACAACATTTATATAATAAATACAGTATTAAACAAAATGAGAGAGAGAGAGAGAGAGAGAGAGAGATCAATAATGGTTTGAAAATAAAAAATAATAATAAGAGGAAAAATAAAATAAATTCAAATTATTATTAAAGTTAGTTTTTTCTGTTCAAAAAAAAATTTTAAAAATAAAAATTTCTACTAAAGAAAAACTTATTTAATACTTATTTTTATGCCTTAACTTATGTCACGAAACTTATTTTTCAATATCTTTTTTTATGTTATAATAATATTTTGTATTATAAAAATACAATATATAATATACAGTATATATATTATAGTTAGTATATACCAAAAAAATATATTTATTTACAATATATTTTATACTTCATATTCAACGTGTATAAGTAGTTATATGTTTTTTTTTAAAAAAAGTATTAATATATTTTCATTACTATATATTGGGAGAGAGAGAGAGTTTATATCAGTATATAAAGTGTTTAGAAAATATAAAATGTATTTCTGTATAAACATTACATTTAAAAAGATTATTATATATTTTTTTGAATAGTTTTTTTTCTCGAAAAATATAATGTGTTTTTTTACTCGTTTGCCAAACCTTTCAGATTATTATCATATGATTAGTTTGCTATTATTTTTTTTCATATATATGTATATACAGTATGTATGTGTTCATTGACTAGATTTTTCATTGAAAGGTTAAACAAAATTAGTTAAGATACTGATGAAATACATTAATAATAATAATAATAATAATTTCAAACTTTTAGCCATTTATTTTATAATTACTAGTTTTTTATATAATTTAAAATAAAAATTATTAGAGAGAGAAAGAGAGAGAGAGAGAGAGAGAGAGATTCTTTACATTGATAATTTTTTCTAAACAAAAAAAAATAATTATATTATATTTTATTACTATTGGCGTTAAGTGGGAAATTTTTATTTTATTTTAATTTTATTAATTTTTTTACTCTCTGAATCGTTTATTACATTAATTAAAATTATTATTATTATTATGTGTTAAATGCAAATTCACAATCAAATTGCAGACAAAATGTAATTACAATCTATTTAGATATACAGTATATATATACATATATGTATATATATATATATATATATACATATATGTATATATATATATATACTGTATATTTATGATATTTATATTATATAATAAATTGAATTTACAATTTATACATACAGTATATCATACTAAACACAATACATATTATATTTTTTTAACAAACAATTGTTTTTATTATATATAATATATTGTGTGCTATAAAATCAAATGTTAATTTCATTTAAATTTTATTCTCCATCTCTCAACTGTTTTTATATATCATATTATAATATAATAATAATAATAATAATATTTTTTCTCTTTCTTTCTCTTATAGTTTGGTGACACACCTCTGCACAGGTATGTTATGAGAAGTTATGCCATTTCCTATGTTAAACATATTATTCACACTTTAATACTTTACATGCATTACAATAATAATAACAACAAGTGTTTGATATTACTGTAATAATTGTTTTTTTAAAAAATGACTGTCTATTGTATTAAATTATATTTAAAATGTTTAGTTTTAAACTACACTACAATGTCGTTAATATAATTTAAAGATATTGGGTGTAATATTTATAATATTAAATATATATATTTATATTTATAAATAAAATCTCATTTATTATTAGATAATACATAATCTATATATTAATACTTTTAATAAATTTCATATACATTTTATGTGTGTGTGTGTGTGTGTGTGTGTGTGTGTGTGTGTGTGATTTTGATAAATTGTTTGTAAATACAAAAATAGCAAAAAATAGCACCAAAAAAACACTCACACATCAAAATTTATTATATTTTTTTCTTAAAAATAAAGAAAAATGTTATAAATTATAATTTTATTTATGATAGTAAAGAAAAATCACATTTAATCCATATATAGTTTTTTATTTTTAAAAAAAAATATATACAATTTATGCCAAACATCAGTTCTTAACAATACTTGCAATGCTAACTACGGTGAGACAGAAGAGAGAGAGAGAGAGAGAGAGAGAGAGAGAGAGAGAGAGAGAGATTGAGCTACAAGTGGGGGAACTGTAGCTTTTTTTCTTGTTATTGTTGTACAATATAAGTACATATAATAGTTTCCCTGGGTATTACATGGATGTGCTCATCATAACACCATAACAATATAATCATCATCATTATCATCAACATAAAAAAATATTGTATGGTTATCCCATCTCTCTCTCTCTCTCTCTCTCTCTCTCTCTCTCTCTCTCTCTCTCTCTCTCTCTCTCTCTCTCTCTCTCTCTAGCTATGCTATTAGGATATTGTTAGTTACAGCACATGTCTACTACATAGAGAGAGTAATGTCCAAAAAAATTTGTATAATGCTTTTTGTTGTATGTATTTGTTATGTATAATAGTTTTTTTTTAAAGTACAGGTATGTTTTTTTTGGCATACAAGTGCAACACACTTGACAGTTGACTTGTATTTTGTATATTATATATACAGCACACACACACACAAATCTAAACAACAATAAAAAAAACTTATATAACTTAGCTCTCACTCAGTGATGTATTTTGTATATAATATAATAAAATATTATAATAATAATCTCATTTGGCATATAGTGTGAAATGTATACACCGGGGCATTTTTAACTATACTGTATATATATATACTGTATGTAACTTATTATAATAACTACAGTATAAATACATACAGATTTATACAGTATATGTATGCAAAAAAAGATTTTATAGTATATAAACGATACCAACAGTGATGGTGATGATGATAATGATGTGAAACATATATATATATATATATATATATAATAAATTTAAATAACTTTTATTTAAATATATACAGTATATAAAATTTATATTCATATTATTATTTTTTATATTAAAAAACATCACACAGTATAACACCTCACAAAACTTTTTTTTTTAAATACATTTAAATTTAAATTTTATTTAAGAAAAAATATTAAATTAATATTATTAATACTAGTATAAGCATTCATATACTGTGTGTATATAATATATGCTAAGTTAAAGAGGATTAGTAGATAAGGATATCTAAAAAAAATAAATAATAAATTTTATATAATAAATACCCACAAAAATATACAGAATAATAATGATAATACAAACAACAAAACATTTTATACTTTTCTTTAAAAAAATAACTCAAAATATATTATAACTAATACTGTATGACATCTAATAATAATATACTGTAAATCTAAAAACTTTAAATACTTATACTGTATATATACAGTACATTACATTACAGTAATAATCTATAGTCTTAAACAAAACAAAACAAAAACAACAAATATTATAATCTTTTTTAATTAATCACAACATTTTTTATATACAGTATACTATACTATATTTATTAATATATCATATTTAAAATATATTATATTATAATCTTTTTATTTATTTTTTTAACTGCAAACACCCACTCATTATAACTGGACTATTGGATACTCAACAACACTTGGATTATGTGATTACCCCCTAAACTACTAATAATAATTAATATAATAAAACCAACCGACACAACAACAACAACAACAAAAAACCTAACAGTGCTGCCCGTTATGGACACGCAGGTGTTGTCAGGATATTATTGAGCGCCTTCTGCAATGTCAATGAAGTCAATAAGGTATGTGTAATAATAACAAATTGATTGGATATCTAAAAAAATAATATTATTTTAAATTTAATATTATTATTACCAAAATAAATTGCAAATATATATATATAAATTTTAAGTTATATACCCCATATTATTTACCCGCACAATTACCCGATATATATATCATAATAGAAATAATGTATTTACAGGCGGCGGCTAACCAATGTAACAGTATATCTGTAAAAAATAAAACCTAATAACTTAATTGACAAAAAAATAACAATGTGTGTGTGTGTGTTTGTATAAATTTATGTATATAAATTTTATGTTATTTTTTATTTTATTAAAAAAATAATAACTTTATTAGTAATCATATTTTTTTAATAATTTATTCAAATTAGATAGCAGTAATTTTTAAGTTAATATTTTTTATAAAGTAAAAATAAATCAGATTATTGATAGTGGTGTGTGTGTGTGTGTGTGTTGGCAATATAATAAGCTATGAAACTAAAGTAATTACATTTACAATAATAATAATATAAGTTTTTTAAAAATATAAAAAAATTAAATTTCAGGATTAACTGTAACACTAATACTTTAATGAATGATACGAGATATTATTTATATGTAAATTTATATATATAATAATTATTGTATTTTGTTTAAAATTGCAAATAATCAATATATATATATATATTTATAAATATGGATCAATTATAAATTTCCATATATGGAAATATAAATTACAATATATACATATATATAGGGGTATTAAATTTTTTTTTTGAAAAAAAAACATTTACATAAACCTTTTCAATTGCCATCATATGTATATATATTGAAACATTTGATATATAATATTAGATATTTAATTAGAAAATAAATTTATTTTTATTTATTTATTTTTTTTGCAGCCAAAGTGCTAAATACTTTGAATATATTAATATAAATTACATTAAATACACTGTACTAATAAAAAAAAAGTTTATTTCATTATTATTATTATTATTATTATTATCTATACCAAGTATTTATAATACTATATAATAATTGGGACACCAATTGAAATATATTGACACATCATGTATGTGTTACTATTTTTAATAAAGTATTATACTATACAATACTATCTATTTGAATAAACAGTATATATATATTTATTTATAACTTTAAAATAAGTAAATTCATAGCATGTACTGTATGTATAGTTTATTCATTTAATATTTATTTAGTTTTATTTGTAAGGCAAGGGTTTTAATGTGGATGAGTTGGTGTCAAAAATTATACACCACTAAGAATAGCTCAGTTAGTTTTTTTTTCTAATGACTGTTTTTTCCAGTAGTAATAATAATACTACAGTTAACTAACTACAGTACAGACTGTATAATCATTGAACTGTATCATTGAAAAATGATTTCCTAATGTTAATTGATAATTATAAATCATTACTAGAAAACTTATTGAGCTTATATATGTGTGTGTGTTTGTGTAGGTAGGTTGAGTTAATTCCCAGTTTACCCCCCTATCTATCGGTTTGCACACACAAAACCTATTATATAATGTATACACAAAAAAACTATTATCCAATATATTATATAAACGACTCGTCTATTTCACACACTTTTTATTTATTAATAATAATTTGAATACACATCATCAATGGTATAAGCCATCAAATCAATTGGTTTTTTATAGTAATAGTACTGTATATTCCTACACGACATATATTTCCCATCAATTTACTGTATTATTATTATTATAGAGTATTTAATATATAATATAACTGAATTAACTTTCAAGACTTAAATTAATAAATAAATAACTTATAGTGAGAGAGAGAGAGAGAGAGAGAGAGAGAGAGAGAGAGAGAGAGAGAGAGAGAGCTTTACTCCCATTGAAAATGGCTTATAAGTTATGCTTTGACCGATAGTTTAATCACAATGTCGTGTGTGTGTGTGTGTGAAGCACTTGTTATTCAACTATCAAATTAAACGCTTAAAATAAATCTCATACTATATATGATATATATATATATATAACTTAGTCATATATATATATATATATATATATATATATATATATATATATATATATATATATATATATATATATATATATATATATATAGAGAGAGAGAGAGAGAGAGAGAGAGAGAGAGAGATGCCTATGAAAGTCAGCAAATTATTTACAAGTTATATAACAGTATATATTTGTATGCAATTTTATTTTAAAGTAAACCTAATATACAGCATAAATGTATATAAATTATACTATTTTTTGTACAAAAATAATTTTGTATTAGTTTTTAATACGATATACGCGATTAGCATTATTATCGTTATTAGTATTATTATATATTAAAAAAAATATTTTTTTTATATATATTAAATACAGGACTAAACAAGTGTACGCTGAGTGAGTGAGTGAGTGATTCATTATATTATTAACGTTTGCAAAACTAAATAATAAATGGCATTTTTTTAGGCCTGAAATAAACCTGTATATATATATATAGTATTTATAAAATAAATTATACCGAAAAAAAATTGAAATAATTTTTTACCGCTATTTACTATATTTATAATTTATACTAAACAACAAAAGTCTTATGTGTCAATAATGATGATTTAAATGCCAACACACATAAAAATACTATACAATATAACAACAATCTGTTTAAAACCAAATTATATTTATTGAATTTTAATGTTTTTTTAATACATGTTTCCTTAAAAATAAAAGATTACTCTCTCTCTCTCTCTCTCTCTCTCTCTCTCTCTCTCTCTCTCTGCTCATCAAAACTCATTTGAAAAACTTTTTAAAAGAGGTATTGCATTAAACATTAGGTGTTCCCCACCAAAAAAATATCATATATATATATATATATAATAAATGCCATAACATATCAAATCTGCCGGCATTTAAATTATATGGATGGACCTATCCATCCATCTATCTATCCATTGATCTATCTATCCATACATTTTCATTCATCCATTCATTCATCTACCCGTACCAAAATAAAAACATTTTATTATATATTTATAAAAAAAACTAAGTGAACCCCACTATTCATAAAAACTATACATCAATTAAAATCTCGTACATTAAATAACAGTATGTGTCCACATACATACATACATACATACATACACACACATAACTAACCATCATTACATACATGATTTTTTCTACATACCTGTCCACATAATTCATATTACATGTATACCGTTTATATATACCTGTAATCTCAATATATCAATTTTAATATACTGGGGTACGAACCTAAAAAACATCATTTAATTTATTTTACGTTAAATTATTGTTGATGTTTTCACGGGTATTGTATAGTATAGCTGCCACTTGTTGTTCACGCGATTAATATTTAATACAATTTTAAAGATAAATATATGAATGTCTCGTGAATTACTATTAATTTTATTGTAAATTAGAGAATATTTTCTTTGTTAAGTTTTTCTTGAAAGTTATGTTTCTTTTGAAAGCTATGACTTAAATTTAGTGAACAAAATGATTAATCTAAAGACATTATTTAGACTAATACTTGTCTCACAGGAGACAATGATTAACTGGTGTATAACAATGGGTTTATTATTAGCAACTAAAAAGTGTCCCATTTGTGACAACGAAATGGTAAATAATTAATTTGCAAAAAAATACATTAAAAAATTATTTTCGTAGAAGATAATTGTCAAACAATTATCGTACCGGTGCCACCAAAAGCATGGACAACCTCATGATTATAGACTAAGTGCTTTGAATAATACGTGGTTTTCTGGATCAAAGTTTAGCATTGAAAACATAATAATCTTGACGTACCTGTTTTCGGTCGGCACAACAAAATATGAGGACATTAAACGAGAAACAAGTGATTTAACTAAAACAACATCTCATAACACTATAAGTGATTGGCTTAACTTTTGTCGAGAAGTGGTATTTGATTGGGTCGAAAAATATCAATCAGTTGATCTCTTAGGAGGAGAAGGTAGTATATGATACATATTTAATTATGCACGTTACCTAAACCTAATTATAATGGTAATACTAAACTGATAGTGTATTAGTGTTTGCTCTGTTACCTAACCTGGAGTTCCGACCGCAACCTAAACCTAATTATAATGGTAATACCAAACTGATAGTGTATTAGTGTTTGCTCTGTTACCTAACCTGGAGTTCCGACCGCAACCTAAACCTAATTATAATGGAAATACCAAACTGATAGTGTATTAGTGTTTGCTCTGTTACCTAACCTGGAGTTCCGACCGCAACCTAAACCTAATTATAATGGTAATACCAAACTCATAGTGTATTAGTGTTTGCTCTGTTACCTAACCTGGAGTTCCGACCGCAACCTAAACCTAATTATAATGGTAATACCAAACTGATAGTGTATTAGTGTTTGCTCTGTTACCTAACCTGGAGTTCCGACCGCAACCTAAACCTAATTATAATGATAATATTTTGATAACTTTTAATTCAGGAGTTGTCGTAGAAATTGACGAAACAAAAGTTGGTAAAAGAAAGTACAATAGAGGTCGACTAGTTGATGGGACGTGGATTTTAGGTTTAGTTGAGATTCAAATAGGAGCTAATTGTCGACGTGGAGGTAGATTTCGTTTAGAAATATGTCCCCTAAATAAAAGAGATGCCGACACTCTTTTACCTTTGATACGTAAGCATGTAAAAATTGGGACAACTATTGTGTCTGACTGTTGGGCTGGATATTATAGACTAACAGACAATGGTATAAATGATAGATAAAACATATTATTAAGTTAATTAATTTTTTAATTTTTAGGTTTTGTCCATTTTACTGTGAATCATTCGAAAGAGTTTGTCAATTCACATACCGGTGCAAACACACAGACCATTGAATCTCAATGGAGAGCTATGAAACGCAATCTTTTAAGAGGGGGTATACCACAAGATAACCTTTATCTACATTTAGCCGAATATCTTTGGCGCCGACACGTACTTCACAACAATTTAGATAATTTTATTTTTTTTAT